ACGATAGTCTGAGAGTAAATTTGGAATTGCCATCAAAGACAAGGGACCTTTGGTGGAATTAACCCTGGTATAATTTGCTTTGACCAACATAGTTGGGTTGTTTCTAATTTTGATAAATAATTTAAATGTCATTTTGAATTAGAGTTCACAATCTAAGGCGAGCTTTGCTTTATTGTATAATTTGTCTTGATCAATTTGGTTGGGTTGTCCCTAATTTTATTTTATAATTATTATTTTTAAAAGTGATCTCATTTTTGTCCGAACTAATCTTAAATTCACGGTCCACATGATTTTGGAGTTGCGTAATCAGTCCACTGGTTAAATCCTAATTTTAATATGTGCACATGGAATCTAATTCAGATAATCCTATACACTGTTGATTGCTTTCAGTCATGATTTTTAAGCCAGATGACGATGAATCAACTACGCAAATTAGTGGTGCTAGATTGTGAGATGGGATTTTATTTGAGTGTACCTCTCTCTCTCTCTATATATATATATATATATATATATATATATATATATATATATATATATATATATATATAGGCTCTGTTTGGTAAAAAGTTGGCCTATAGGCCAATTTTGGCTTATTTGACCACTATTAATTGTTTGATTTAGTTAAAATATCAATATAAATATTTGGTTAATTAGCTTTTTACAATTCCAAATGACTAAAATTGAAAAAGCTACACCAAGCAACTTTTTCAATTAGCTTTTTGAAAAAATAAATTATACCAAACAGCTAACAGTTAACAGCTAATTTACCAAACATTTTTCTACAATCAGCTAATATTATCAACTATTTATACACTTTAATTAACACAATCAGCTAACAACTAACAGCTATCAGCTAACAGTCATTTTACCAAACAGGGCCATAACAAAATTATAGTGGAGGGACTGGAGGCGATTCTTCTTACTAAAAACTAAAAAAGATATAATAATCACGCCATTATCAGATTCCAAAGACAAACTGGCCATGTAGATGTAGTTAACTTCTCCTTCATGCATGTCACATCCTACATGCATATCATCTCATCATCAATAAATATAATGATTTATCAAGTAGAGTGAGTCAGCCTTTGTAATTTGTAATATGGTTTGCAGTGAGGAGAGAAGTGGCCTTGTTTGGTAACATAGATAGTTTATTAGTTAATTTTAACTTATTTGATCATTATTAATTGTTTAATTTGATTAAATAATTAATATAACTGTTTGATTAATCAGTTATCAGCTAATTTACCAAACATATTTCTACAATCAACTAATGTTATCAACTAGTAAAGTCTACTAACCTAATCAGTTAACAACTATTTACCAAACACTTCAAGATAATTTTATGTTGGTGGCCTCTACAAGACTACAACATATTTAATTGCAGATATATAGATCACTATGAACAAGGATTATATTATCCCATCATTAATTAATTAATTTCCCTTAGTTTAGTTCGATATTTTTTAAACTAACTCTTTGTCGTTTAACCATGTACGTAGATAGGAATCTTGTTGGGAGACTGCTCCATTATCCCATGCAAAGTGTTGATTTAAAATTTTTATATGATTGGTGGGATGCTGAGGTTTCTATTAAATATAAATATAGAGACTAATTTAGACAAAAAAGAAAAAAAAAGAAAAAAGAATAAGGGTCAAATAGGTCACTGAACTGTACACGTACGAGAATGTAATTAGGCAACTGAACCTAAAAAATTTACAATTGGATCTCTAAACTAACCAATTTCATTCAATTTGTCTATTTTTCAAGTTTCTCAAGTTGCTAACAGGTGATCCCTCCACCTATGATGCATATGTAGCATTTTTTTAAAAATAATTTTTTTTTTAAAATTAATTCTTTTAATGTTTAATAAATAAAAACTAAAATAATTTATTTTTAAATTATTTTTTTAATGTTTAATAAATAAGAATTAATTTTTTTTTTGAAAATAAAATAATTTGTTAAGACGTCGTACATGGGCTTGGATTTTATTTTCAAAAAAAAACAAATTATTTTAGTTTTTATTTATTAAACATTAAAAAAATAATTTAAAAATAAATCATTTTAGTTTTTATTTATTAAACATTAAAAAAAACTAATTTAAAAATAAATTATTTTTTTTAAAAAATGCCACATATACATCCTTGGTGGAGGAGTGACCTGTTAGCAACTTGAGAAACCTGAAAAATGGAAAAATTGAATGAAATTGGTTAGTTTAGGAACCTAATTGTTAAACTTTTAAGTTCAGTGGCCTAATTGCATTCTCGTGTGCAGTTCAGTGGCCTATTTGACCCTTATTCCAAAAAAAAAAAAAAAAAATTGTAAAAGGTACACGCATGCACCAAAGTATAAAACGATATGTAAAAGTGTTTTTAAAACTTTTATATTTTTACATACCATGTATTTTGTAGTTATGTACAGATGTAAAGTGTATGTATGCACTTTTAGAGTTTAAAAATTTGTATTGTAATATTTATCAACTCTTACAATATAATGATTTTCATCTTACTCAAAAGTCATTGATTGTCTTAAATCGACAACTTGCATTATGTTACATTTTTATTTTAGGTATTGTTCTCAATTGGTCTCATTTCTATATATAAATACATGAACGTGCACGATAGAAATGGTTTATATGAGAAATATAAGAATAAGGCATTGTTTGACTACCAACAATAGTTATATGAATAGGGCTCACCATGCATGCGCATTATGAACTCTGCCTAAATTATATACATGTAATTAACTTATTATACATTAAGATAGTAGACTACGTACATATTGAAAATAATGTATTATGTACATACAGTTAACAAATTATGTACTTTCAATTTATTTATTGGTTTATCATTATAAACAATGTCTAACATTTTGCCATATATTATGGAGTGGTTGTTTTGTGAATGACAATTGTTGCCGTGTTTACTATTTTTTTTTTTTTTTTTTTTGGTAATTCCTCTATGCATGATTAAAAAAGAAATAATCCATTATTCTCCTATGTAAAAAAAAAAAAAAAAAGACACATATAAAATGTGCTTTTGTGTGTATTTTTAAACCATATATCATTTTTTTTTCAATAATTGGTGTTCAATTAAACTTTTTAAACTTACATACATCTAATTTTTAATTTTTAATTAAATTTAAGTTTTTAGTTAAATATAGCATATAGATATGTTAAATAGAGCCATTACCCACGCGAAACTAAGGTCATAGACATCATTATCATAATGATTAATTAACATTGCTAATGTTAATATTATATAATAAACTAATTTATTGATGTTGTTGTTCCCATTAATTTATGAAGATCCCAAGAATGGTTGCACGTCCAAGTGTTGGCATCAACTGAAACTGAAAATTTAAACGATTGCATAAATGCACAATCATTATAGCGTGGATTGTAGTCGGTCCGAAAACACATAGTCACGTTTGATAAAATAAGTAGTTAATTTTGATTTATTTGACCACTATTAACTATTTGAAGTGATTAAAAAAATTAATATAAGTATTTTGTTAATTAGTTTTTTGTAATTTTAAATTGTTAAAATTAAAAAACCGGTTCAAAACAAATTTCAATTAACTAGCTTTTTGTAAAAAAAAAAAAAAATTATACCAAATAGCTATCAGCTAACAGTTAATTACCAAACACCTTTCTAGAATCAGCTAATGCTATCAAATAGTTATACCCTCTAATTAACCCAATCAGCTAACAACTACTAGTTATAAGGCAAGTTTAGGCAACATCCATTTACCAAACAAGGCCATAAAGTAAATTATTCTAACTCATAAAATACATTATCTTACCCCATAAATTTCATATTCTAACACATAAATTACATTATACATTATCTTACCCCTGAATTTTTATTATTTTAATACATATAAAATACATTATCTTAACTCAAAATGTTCATTTATTCTAACACGCGCACGAAGCATGTAAATTTTTTTTACTCAGACTAATCTAATTCCATTCCAACCCAAGGGGCAAAATGCTAGCCAGATTGATTTTTTCATACCAAAAGGAATTCAAACTTCTGCACTCGAGATAAAAATGCACGACCACTCATGCCAACCAAGCTGGTTGCATGCAAGATATGTTTTTAAACATCAAAATGATATCGTTTTGAACTATGGTTAGAATAACATTTGGTGTATAATTTGCCATAAATGCATGAGCTATGCATTAGTCAAAGTCAAAATTAAATTGTCGCCCACTCTCTTTAATGATTCCCCGCCCCCTTCAAATTAAATGCTATCAAAACTACACTTGAGACGAATTGTCAATTAGTCTAATCTCTTACCTTATATCATCATCTTCATTCTTTATAGAGTTAATACCCAAAATAGTCCCTCGATTATGTCGTAATTACCAATTTAGTCCTTGACTATCATTCTTATCCAATTAAGTTCTCAACTATACAATTTTTACCCAATTTAGTTCTTTGTCAATTTGACTGTTTGTTGACTGTCAAAAGTGGAAATAAAGTTGTAATTTTACAAGTTTTCTCCTTCCTCCTCATTTAGCAGCGCCAAACCATGTAGCAATAAGCTCCGGTTGGGTTCTAAACCTGTCAGTATCGAAGTAGTGGTTATGCATCGGATAGCCCATGAATTTGATTTCCAACGATTTTTTGACGATCGAAATCTGATCGAAGTGTATTGCTGCATGGTTTGGCGCTGCTAAATGGAGAGGAAGGAGAAATCTTGTAAAATTATAATTTTATCCCGACTTTTGACAGTCAACAAACAGTCAAATTAATACAGAAGATTAAATTGGGTAAGAATTGTATAGTTGAGGACTAAATTGGGTAAAAATTGTATAGTTGAGGACTTAATTGAGTAAAAGTTACATAATTGAAGACTTAATTGGATAAGAATGGTAGTTGAGGACCAAATTGGTAATTATGGCATAGTCGAGGGACCATTTTAGGTATTAACTCTTCTTTATATGATTGCCTCATAACGTGTTGCTTCATCATCTCGTTCAAATCTCAAGTTTCCATTGTATATTGACAAAACTGAAAATCATGGAAGTGAAAATAATCTCAGATGAGTTGATCAAGCCATCACTTCCAACCCCCCCTCACCTCACAACATTCAAACTGTGCCTGTTAGATCAGCTCATCCCCGCCCCCTACGCCCCCATTGTTCTTTACTACCCCAATCTCGACCCTTCTTACGCCCACCACCGAGTCCTCGAAAGGTTGCTGCTCTTGAAGCGCTCCCTGGCCGAAACTCTGACGCGTTTCTATCCCCTCGCCGGCGTTATCAAAGACGACGACGAACTCTCCGTCCACTGCAACGACCACGGCGCTTTCTGTGTCACCGCCAAGGTCAACCGACGGCTCGGGGAGTTCCTTGGCCGGCCGGAGCTTGAGTTCATATCTGAGTTTCTTCCCTGCAGGCCGTGTTTTAGTGGATCCTTGGCGGGGACGACGACTCGGCCGGTGACCAGTGTTCAAATTAATGTGTTTGTTTGCGGTGGGGTTGCGATTGGGCTGTGCGTCTCGCACAAGATTGTGGATGGTTTTGGGTTGAGCAGTTTTCTGAGAAGCTGGGCGGGGACGGCCTGTGCAGCCAAGGAAATTGTGTTCCCGAGCTTCGTCGGGAGTTCTCTTTTCCCGGCCGAGGATCTGTGGCTTAGAGATGCGTCCATGGCCATGTGGGGCTCCCTGTTCAAGACCGGAAAGTGCGTCACCAAGAGGTTAATTTTAATTTATTGGAAAATTATCTTCTTTCTTTTTTTATTTAAGGCGATAATTTTGTGATATAATTTTCAATGGTTTAGGTATACTTTTAATTTGGGTTAAATTAAAGTAAAATTTGGTTTACTTGTTATACCCTTACCTATGATTTATCTTGCATTATGAATCTTGGTTCAAAAATTATGTATCTACCGTTGATATATTCTGTATTTGTAATTACCTGTAAATAAATTGAAGGAAAGATTATGTGTTTGCAATATTATGTACCTGTCGTTAACCATTTATGTGTAACACAATAAAATGTTAACGATAGTTTGCAAATACAGAATATGTGAACTACAAACCCATAATTTGAAAGTTATTTTAGACTAGGGTCTATAATGCAAGGGTGACATTGGTCCATGACATAATTTCTCACATTATAAGTACAAAATGAACAATTGATGAATGAAAAATTGATTTTCAAGTATAGTGTATGGAGTTTGAAACTTGAAGGCTTTGAAATTTTTTTGTCCCACATTAAAAAAGACACTCCCGTCTCCCTCAATCTCATTTTATGTGTCTAGTTCGATTAATGGGGTTTGACTGAAGTTATTTTTAATAATATTAAGTTTAGTATTAGTATACAAAATTTATATATTTAGAAACTAAACTAAAAGTACTATTAAACACAAAAAATTAAATTTAAAAATTTATACTTATACATAAATACATATATATTTATACTTTGTCCATGCATTGCACGTTAGCAATGCATATATATATATATATATATATATATATATATATATATATATATTATATTTATTTATTAAGACCAATCAATTTTTTTTAAATGTTAAGCAAATCAATATAGCAATGCATATATATATTAAGACCAATCAATTGTTTTAAAATGTTGAGCAAATTAATAGTGTTTGAGTATTACTATTCTCAACAATTGTGTTATATATATATATATATATATATATATATATATACATTTTATACTTTGTCCGTGCATTGCTCTGGTGGATAACTAGTTCTTTTTAAAAATCCTTATAAGTTAACAAAATCCACTTCTTCTTCCTATAGGTTTCTCTTCGATTCCTCAGCAATCACACGTCTCAAAACCATGGCGGCCGCCACCGTGCGGCGCCCGACCCAGGTCGAGGTTGTCTCCGCATGTATCTGGAAATCCGCAATGCAGGCTGCAGCTTCCGACCAAGATTCCGGTAGGCGGAGTTCTTTGCTGACGCACTTGGTAAACCTACGAAAAAGGGCGGCGCCGCCGTTCTCCGAACACGCGATGGGAAATCTAATCTGGGTTGCGGCTGCCCAGACCGCAACAAGAACCGGCGGGGGAGATTTACCCGGCCTAGTGAACCAAATTCGAAACTCCATATCCAAAATCGACGGCGATTACGTGAAGAGTATGAGGAGCGGCGAGCAAGGGCGGAACCTAATGCGCAAGACCATGAAAGACATCGAAGATTTCGCGGGCGGCTACCTGGGCTTCACAAGCTGGTGCAAGATTGGTTTCTACGAAGTTGATTTCGGGTTCGGGAAGCCTGTGTGGGTTAGCCCCACTTCCTCAACTGGCAGTGCGGTGTTCATGAACCTCGTGGTGTTGATGGAAACCAAAAATGGGGATGGAATCGAAGCATGGATAACGTTGGACGAGGAAGAAATGCAAAGGTTTGAAGAGAGTCAAGATCTCCTGGGCTTTAATTGCTGTCCCAAACTCTAGTCCTCGATCTTGAACTAACACTTTTTGGTTTAATAATTGTTGGCTTCATGTACTCTCAAAAATCGCAAATTATGCCATGGAATCGTGTTCACCGAGAATGGTGAACACAAGGCAAAATGATGTCGTTTTTAGGCCAAAAAAAAATTTCACGGATGTGGAGTTAACGGCGCGCGTTTGATCAAATTATGAATTTTCTGTTATGAGATTATGAATTTTATGAAAATTCATAATCGCATAACAGAAAATTCATAATCTCACAACAGAAAATTCATAATCTCATAACAGAAAATTCATAATCTTATAACAGAAAATTCATAATCTCATGGTTCCAAAGTGAATGTGTAGGCATGGTTCCAAAGTGAATGTGCAGGCATGGATTCATAATTTATGAATGTCCGTGATTTCGGACGGGAATATGTAGGCATGGTTCCAAAGTGAATGTGCAGGCATGAATTCATAATTTATGAATGTCCGAAATTATGAATGTAATGAAAATTCATAATCTCATAACAGAAAATTCATAATCGCATAACAGAAAATTCATAATCTCATAACTGAAAATTCATAATCTCATAACAGAAAATTCATAATCTCATTGTTCCAAAGTGAATGTGTAGGCATGGTTCCAAAGTGAATGTGCAGGCATGGATTCATAATTTATGAATGTCCGTGATTTCGGACGGGAATGTGTAGACATGGTTCCAAAGTGAATGGGCAGATATGAATTCATAATTTATGAATGTTCGAAATCTTTGTTCACCTCAAATTAAAGTGAAACCGCAAAATGTGAAAATAAAGAAGAAAAGTCACGCAATTAATTAAGAAAAAAAAAAAAAAAGATAACGGTGTACTAACACCGTTGGAACCGTGTTCACCATGAATGGTGAACACGGTTCCATGGCATAACGTCCCGTCAAAAATATACTAGGTTCAAATCTGAGACCTCGGATTTAAAAAATCACAATCCACGGCTATACCGCTCAATCACAAGACAGGCCTTGGGCAAACGTGTCATGTCATAGGAGTAGAAAAGTGAAAATAAGATTTGAGAGTTCATATAGAATTACTCATTTGGCAGAGACAGAAATGTCAAGTTCAGCCAGCCTTCTGCCTCTAGAAAACTTTGAATAAAGTTAAACATTTGCTATTAGCTATATAACTTTTTAAATTATAAATATAATCAGTTATAATTATTTTTTGATTTGGATATCTAACAGTTTCTTTTTAATTTCATCATTTCAGTAAAACTTATATCCTTTCCTCTTTAAATTCCTTCTCCTCTCTGGTGGTTATGCTTCGGAGAGAAAGAAGGATTGTAATAGAGAGAATGGAGTTTTATGGGTGGAGAATTGGAGATTAGTCATCTAAGAGGGCGAAGAAATTAAATGAGTGAAGTTTTATTGAATAAGATGAAATGAAATATATATAGATTAGTGAATAATTAAAGTTTACTAGGTTTATATAATTTTGAAAATTAATGATATGTATGTCAAAAAGAATTATAAACTAAGATACCACAAAATGTAATGATATATAGTATTTCAAAAGTTTATTTTTAATATATTATTTAAAAATAAACATGTAATGCACTAAAAATGAACATACTATTGCAAAACTGGAGGTATTCACGCGTGAACAATGTGTGGTTTCAATTGCAGTAAAGTAATAAGGAAGAAAGGAATACAGAGAATAATGGATGCCGCTCTTATTAATCATCTTTCAGTCCAATATATACAAAATATACAAAATTCTAATATGACTATAAGACTAATAAAGATGAAGATCTTATTATAGTAAAATATCTCTAGTAATATATTCACATCTAATTGTTTACAACACACAATATATTAAAATGAATGTGTATCAATGAATTACATTGCAATAGGTTTACAATATAATTTGTCAATTTGACCAAATTAAAATATCTAATAACTAGTGGATGATAAGTATAATCGTGGAAGACCCAAACTACAGCACTTCAATTCTATATTCTATATAAAGTCAAATAAGGCCATCTTTTTCCTTTAAAAGGGGGGCCACTTATTGTTGACAAGATGAGAGTTTTCCAACTACTTATATCATGGATGAAAGTTCACTGTGTGTATTATGTACCAGTTAATATATTATATTTCTTTTGTTTAGTACATAATTTGGATTAGGATTCACAATGCGTATGATAGACTTTGATAAATATACACAATTTTCCAATCACTATGAAGTTACGGGGCAATCATAGACTAAATTCTAATTTTAATTTGACATTTTTTTAATCATCTAAAATGGTTGAAAATGTGTAATTTAGAATTAAAAAAAAAAAAAACATTGAGTAGTTAGATTTTGAAAAATTATAGTTATTATTTTTGACTATTTTTATCAAAAGCGGTCGAAAATATTGATCACCATTGAAACTTGAAAGTGGCCACTGACCAACAACTTTGGTGGAATATCCATCAGACTTTTTGCAAGTTTCTATCCAATGGTGGTGAAAATTAAAAAGAAAAAAATTAGCCATATTTGATATGGGTTTCTGCCAATCATATATAAGAAAAGTTAGTCAATTATATATATGGTCCCGTTTGGTAAATGATGGTTAGCTGTTAGCTGATTGAGTTAATTAAAAGGTATAACTAATTGATAAAATTAGCTGATTGTAGAATGTGTTTGGTAAATTAGCTGTTAGCTGATAGTTGTTTGGTATAATTTCTTTTTTCAAAAAGCTAATTGAAAAAGTTACTTTGGGTAACTTTTTGAATTTTAGCATTTTGGAGTACAAAAAGCAAATTAACCAAATATTAATATTGATTTTTAAATCAAGTCAAACAATTAATAGTGGTCAAATAAGTCAAAATTGACCTATAGGCTAACTATTTTACCAAACAAAATCATAATATACAATGATATACGCCGTGTTTGGTAAATGACTATTGGCTGATTGGGTTAATTAAATGGTATAACTAGTTGATAACATTAGCTGATTGTAGAAATGTGTTTGGTAAATTAGTTGTTAGCTTTTTCAAAAAGTTAATTGAAAAAATTGCTTTGAGTAGCTTTTTGAATTTTAGTATTTTGGAGTTACAAAAAGCTAATTAACGATGCATTTCTTCTAAAAAATAAAAAATAAAAAATGATGCATTTCTTCTCCCTTCTCCTAATCTCAATTCTCAAAGGTTCCTCACAATAACTAAGTGAGTTAGTAAATAAAGTCAAATGTTGGTGTCGTATTTTGAATTTTAATCTCTTTTTTCAAATACATAGAACCTACTGAACCAGTGAGTTAAATCTGTGCTGGTAAAATGATGTGTCCCTTATATGAGAGGATATATACTACTCCTCTATATGAGATCTCTTCTCACATAACGATCCTCAATTATTTTTTTTTTTTTGAACAACGATCCTCAATTATTTGAATTTGCTCTCTTTTAAAAGATTATTTGTTCCAAGGCTAATTACAGAAGTGATTTCTCAATGAAGTGAAACTAATTTCAAGAATAACAAATAGATCGATGAAAAAATAGACCTAATTTAACATTACGCCGCACGGCCGAATCAACCATATGCAATTTCTCAGAGGATACAACATTCAAATTGAGACCTTACTTCCATTACAAAAGTTAGATCATAAGTGGAGGTTTGGCCCAAACTAATTAAGTACTACTCTGCAAGAGGCAGCTTACTCTAGATGGATTGGATGAGCCGACAACTTCATTCTGGATAGCTTTCAATTCACTCCGGACACTTTTTCGTTCCGTTAGAACATTATCAAACACCGGGTAGCCATCTTTCAAGTAACCTTTTTCCACCACACACTGACCTAAGAACACTAAATGATACAACACTCAAATCAAGACTCTAACTTTAACACAAAAATTAAATCACAAGTAAAAGTTTAGTACCAATTTAAATACTATTCCACAATCTCTTGTGGAGGGACGATATAAAATTGTGGGCTTGTTTGACAATCAGCGGTTAGTGGTTAGCGGTAGCGGATTGTATTAGCGGTTAACGAATAGCGGATTGTGTTAGCAGGTTTGACCAACGGATTGTATCAACGGTTTGTAAAAAAATATTTGGTAAAATTAGCGGTTTAGATTGCGGTTAACATGTAAAATGACCAAAAGGGTATACATATAATAATAATAATAATAACAAAAAAAAAAAAAAAGATGTCGGATTGTCCCACATCGAAAGTCAAATTAAAAAAGGCGCGTTGGCTCCCTTATAAAAGGGAGCTCAACGCCCCTTCAATTTTAATGTTAACTTCTTGCCCATCCCACATCGGATGGGCAAGAATTGAGAAGCCTGAGGTATCTTATTTAAAGAAGCCTCAGGTTTCTTTTTTAAGTAAGGTGGAGGGTGTTTTGGTTCCTTTCCCAAAATGCCAACCAACACGCTGTTATATGCAGTGTGTTGAATTTCAACGGTTTGGAGCAATTCACTGCTCTAAAACGTTGTTAACCAAACAATGACTTTGACGTTTTGACCATGATCAAAATGTCAAAGTCAGCGGATCTGCCAAAATTTGGCGTATCCGCTACTAACCAAACATGGCCTGTATCAAACGGTCTCATCGCTTATAGTCACCAATCACCACTATCAGGCCACCTTCTAGCAATCGTTATGCCATGGAACCGCGTTCACCATCCATGGTGATCACGGTCCCAACGATAACGGTGCACCGTTATCTTTTTTTTTTTTTTTTTTTTTTTTTTTTTTTTTTTTAACCGCGCGACTTTTCTTATTTATTTTCACATTTCGCGGTTTCACTTCCTCTTCGTGCAAGCTTTTTCAACATTCATAAATTATGAATATGCAGGCATGGATTTATGAATGTGAAGTTATGAAATTATGAATTTTCTGTTATGATATTATGAATTTATAGTAAATTCATAATCTGATAACAGAAAATTCATAATTTAATAAATGTTTTTCTTTTATGTGATTATGAATTTTCTGTTATGAAATTATGATTTTTCTGTTTTGAGATTATGAATTTACAGAAAATTCATAATTACAAAACAGAAAATTCATAATCTCAAAACAGAAAATTCATAATCTCAAAACAGAAAATT